GGAGGGGAGAGGATGGCACCGCTGCATGTGGCTATGGGTCACAGGGCATCCTGGTACTTTTTCTTCTGCAGGGCTCCCTTCTCCCCACACCCCAGCCATCCCAGCGCTAAATCCATTACATTGTCTGGGCTTGCTGTGCCGTGGGCTAGGAACAGGAGCAGGAGTCTGCATGTTCTGCTATTTTCAGGCTGTATCAGTGTAGCCCTGGAGTGTCAGATAGCCCATTTTACAAGTTTCATACTTACGAAAAAATTCTTTGTAATTTTCAGTTCTCCAAGGAAACTATTAAATACCTCAGAATAGAAAACAGGTTTTTTAGATATTCTTGCTTAAGGAGTGATACTGAACAGGTATCAAGATCTGGAGGTTCGATGCTTAAAAGCACACTGCTGTCCCCAGAACACCCAGGAGAGGCTGATCCTCTCCCCTGCATCTCCTTCCTACCCAGACCATTCATGGGGGAATGGGCCAGCAGTGGAGGGAGCATTGCTTCTCCGGTGGCCTAAAGAAGAGATGTCTTTAAACATGCCTCTAAACGCAAGTGCATCAAGACACCAAATGTTATGTAGGAATTGAGAAGCAAATGAGTTGGACTGAAGTGTGTTTAAAAGACCTTTGCTGTAAAACTGTAACCAGCACAAATGATTGGGACATCTCTGAGCATTCTCAGAAAGGCATGCTTGTCTCTAGGGTGGCTGCAATTGCACACAGTGGTTCCAGGATGGTGTCATTGATCATTTTCCTTCTCAGTCATCTCAGGGACCAGTGCCAAACCCAGGTATCCCAGGGCAGTGTGATAGGTTTGGCTCTGCTCCTTTTTGAACAGTGGAGGGATCACACTGGTAATCTGCCAGGGTGAGCTACATCTATCATATCGTGAAAAGATTTCCACATGGCCAGATGTCTCCACAAAGCCCCACTCTCCAGGAATCATGATAAACTTTCTATTATCTTATTTAGATTTAATATTGCAGAAAGTGTGCTGGTTTTCCTAGCTGCTCTGACAAGAACAAATCAGCACAGTGGGCTACCTATGAAAATTTTGAAGTAGCTATATAACCATATAAAGGACATAATGTGCACCAGCCAGGCAGTAATTCCTGAAAGTTTGTGCTGCCCCTCTCAGTCATGCTGCTTTCATGCAGAGCGGAGAAATACACACAGCCCTGCCTGGGGCTTGCTCCCACCCAGATATCTGGGTTCTTACTGCCCACAGATCTGAAATGGAGGCAGGTTTAGTCCCAGCTTACACCATGTGAGTGTGTAACAGGAACGTGATGGGAGCAGGGAGGAAAGGGGATTCCTCCCTCCATGCTCACCCTGCTTGTTATCTCCAGCCCTGAGACTTGTTTTTTACAGGGATTTCTGATTACAGTCACTTTGGGTTTGGACAATGTTTTTGCACTTCTTCTGTCTCAAAAACCACCAACAGCAGGTGCCACTGCTAATGACTCCTGCCAATGAGTATATGACAGCTCATCTAAATGAGTGAATTGGGGCTTATGGCTCCAAGAGGGAGGTCTACGCATAAAGAATTTTATTTTCCTATTTTACTCTGCAAGTAAAGGAGTCAAATGGGATTCATGGCTCTCTAATGGAAGAGTTATGATCTCTTTCTTCTTTTTCTAATCTCTTCCCATTTCAGCTACCCAGTGCCTTTGTCTCCTGCTTTTCACCTGCCTGCTGGCCCTGGCAGCACCTCTTCCTGCCTTTGACATAAAAAACTTGCATCTCCTCAATGGCACACTGGATGAAATTATGAATGTTCTCCCAGAGTCCTCCCAGCTTGGTAAGTACATCAGTAAAATAGGGAGAGGCAAACAAGGTCATGTTCAGTCAGATCCTACACAGACGTCCTCACCAGCCTAACCACACCCCTGTAGCACAGAGAAAGGACTACATACTGCTCTGTGTGTGGGCAATGCCAATGCAGTAGGCTGTCTTCCTTGAACAAGAATAATCTCAGAGTCCTCCTCTGCTTGCTGCTTGTCTCCTCTCCTGTCTGGCATGAAGTTCTTCTGCCCATAAGTGAGTCCAATAGTCTGAAGCTCAGAGTTCACAGGATCCCAAGAGAAGGGACATGGTCAGTCTCATTGGCAGCAAGACCAAGCCAAGGGTGTTGTTGGCCATGGGCTTTTCCTTGGAGACACAGTGTTAAAGATGTTAAGGCAAACAATGACAGTGTGTTTTGAGGACATGGGGAACAGTAGCCACTTCTGGAAATCACAAGGTCAGTGGAGAACAGAATTCAGGAGAGAAGTGAATACAAAGAGGAATTAAATGAAGTTAATACAAAGAGTCTAAGCAGTGGCACTGACACAGAGCAATCAGCCAGACAATGGCAGAGTAACCTACAAATACCAGGGTATACTGGAGCAATGCAGAAGCCTCCAAAAAATGCTCTTGGAATAAAACTGGGGACTGTGGGTGGGACACGACACAACAGCAAGAGCTGGTTCCCTTCCAAGGGAGGAGGAGGAGGAGTTCCTGGCAGAAGAGCTCAAGGTCCAAGTGTTTGATGCTGGTTTCACATCAGCCTTCACTGCAAAGGTCAGCTGTCAGGAAACTGCCAACACAGGAAGCACCCTTGACTGAGACAAGAACTTGGGCTTCACAAAGAACTGCAGGTCTGAGTAGAGAAAGGGGGTGTGCTCTGAGCTTCACACTCATCTCTCACCTGGACCACTGCTAGGGTGCTCTGAAAACATGAGCAGCATGAATGTAAGATGGGTAAGCAGGGAGGCATGCCAGAGGAGATAGGCTAATATTCGAAAGTCTTGACTTGTAGAGAAGTGCTTCCAAATGGATGGGAAGTGAAGGCAGAAAGGAGCAGGGGCTTACAAAATTAACATGGTGAACAGTTTCATATGGCTGTAGTAAAAGTAAATACCATGGTAGCAAAGTCCTCTAGACCACGTTACATGAGTGTTTCCCACTCCACATAGGCTCAGGCCAACCACCACGTTCACTGGTGAGCTTCAAGACACATTTGGAGAGAGTCAGAAAGAAAGGGGCCAAAAATCTGGCAGACAGACTGTGTCAGGGAAGGCTGAAGAGCTGAATGGTTTAGCCCCAAAATCAGAAGACCATGGAGGAGGAAGTGATAGCAATATTACAGTCTGTCTGCAGGAAAAAATGTACTCTGGGTGTAGTAAGAGAAAGAACGGGCTAATACACAGTGCAAGAGGCTTAAGTTAAACACATCATAAGGGAGGAGATAGGAAAGCACCAGCTGAGAGTGAAAGCAGGGAGCAGAAACTTGAGGATGCCAGAGAGCAGTTGCCTGCAGGGTTAGGCATCTGTTTCAGAGAGGGGACGGGAATGGCTTTTGTGATTCCATAAGCCTGTGATTCATTCCTCTGTTTTATAGCTACCAGTGGATACACAGAAGATGTCCTTGCAGAAGAATTGCATTAATTCACTCTAAACCATCTTCTCTTCCAGTAATATCCTTCAAATTCCCTTCTGACCCAGCTGAGCAGAACCCCTCTCCCAACTCCTGATATCTGCATCAGTTTTCCTGTGTCTGCTCTCACATTTCTTCTCCCTCTAATCCCTCTTCTTCCTGAGTCCCTTCCTAACTGCTTCTACTGCACTTTAACAACCATCCACCACCATTTGGGGTCTTTCCCTGACACAGTGTGCCCAAATCCTTCTCACCAAGGAAGCATCTGCCCCATTCTAACACCATGTAAATTCCCCCAAACTACCAACTAACTGGCTGATAGCTGAAATGGTAAAGTCTCTCTGGAATTAGGAGCAACAGCAGAAAAACAGGAATATCATCTGGAGAAGATCATGCTCTCCCAGCAGGCATTTGACATGTCTACTTTCAACACTCACTCCTGTCTCCTCTGTTCTTGTTAATTCAGATAACAGTGGCAAACATGTTCGACAGGTCAGAGACATTGCCCCCCACACACCGATGGGCCATGGTAAGTCTCTTCTCAAGGAGCACATCTGCTCATAAGGTTTCACCATTGCTGGGCTCATGAAGAGCTCTCAGCCACCTTAGCTTATGTCCTCAATGTACACTGTCTCCTCCCAGGAAAAATGTTGATTTTGTGATAGGCTGCAGAGGTGCCACAGCTCATAACCTCGGGGGGACTCTATTACCAGCCATGTGCTGGACTCAGTAGTTGATGAGGATCTTTAGCATGGGCAATTTTCCACCTGAAGTTCCAAATTGGAAAGTGATGATTCATTATTGGCCTTTGGGAAGTGGTGATTGTTTATTTTCCTCTTTTCACTCTACAGTTGATGAGAAGACTGGGTAAGACAGGGACTGACTGTGTTACTGAACTGACTGAGTCAACAATAGCCCATAGGACCACAAGATAGTTTCTATCCGGGTAGGAATAACCAGTAGCAGAGGTACTGGGAGTGGGCAGATCCCTTCCCAGAAGTGTGTAGGTGCATTCAGCTGTTTGTTGTATAAGGGGCTGACACTCTGGAGCATGGAAAGATCATAATCAAATCAAACAAGTCAGGAAGTCTCTAAAGAGCTCTCAGGTAAGCCCAGAGAAAACTGATGGATTTGCCCCATTGATATCCCAAGGGCTGATTTAATTAGTAGCAATATGAATGTCTTGATCACACTGTCTCCAGGGTTTCTGAGATTACTATAAAGCTCTAAAGCCTCCATGCTGTGAAAGCAAATGGCGTTATAACCCAGATTTGCATTTGTCTGTGTGGTGATACGTCACCTGTATGCTACAGGCAAATCACCACAGCACTGCAAAACTGAACCCAACCTGGGCTAGGGCGCATTGTGTGCTGGGTGAAGGCAATGGCTGGCTTGGTCTCACCAGACCAAGACAATTTGGCAGTGTAGGCTCATCAGTTTGAATCCTGTCTTGTGAAGATATGAAGCCCAACTCTAACATTGATCATTTCAAGACTTTGATTTACTCCTGTGAGCACATGGCAGGAATACAGCCCAAGAATGTGTGTGCAATAGCATATAGGCACAAAAGAAATATCAGGTGCTTTCGGGGTTTCAGTGTGTGGGATTTAATAACCATTTCTGTTTCCTGCCCCAGGTTGGCCCAAGGACTGCAGTGAGATCCCTGCTGGCAGCCGCAGCGGTGTCTACATCATCCAGCCAAAAGGACTCCACCACCTCGTGGTGTACTGTGAAATGAATATAACAAACGGGGGTTGGACAGTCATCCAGAGGAACCAGAAAGACACACCAGTCACCTGGGCTGAGTCCTGGAGCACCTACAAGTACGGCTTTGGAAATGTGCGCAGGGAATACTGGCTGGGCACCGAGTACATCCACCAGATCTCCAAGCAAAAGGTCTACCAGGTCAGGTTTATCATCCAGGACTCCACAGACAACACCAATTTCGCAGACTACAACCTCTTCAGCCTGGAAGATGAGTCCCATGGCTACCGGCTGAGGCTGGGCTCCTACACAGGGACGGCGGGGGATGCCATGACCTCAGACAATCCCAACACCATGCATGACAACATGAAGTTCTCCACAAAGGATCGAGATCAGGACACTTACAGTAAGAACTGTGCCTACAGCTATGAGGGCGGGTGGTGGTACTCAGCATGTTATTCTGTACGGCTGAATTTCAAGGGTGGCATGACATGGGGCAGCATGTGCAAAGGAAACTGCAAATCCTCCCTTATCCTCATCAAACCAGCTCAGTATTGTTAGTGCTTCTTCCCCCTCCTGTCCACACTGGACACTCTGCAAAGGCTCTGCATGGCCAAACAGCTTGAGCCTTTCTGGATCAGAGAGGGGAGCCCAATGGTAGTAGGGTTTTTACTGAAATACCACTTTCCATTTCCCCTCTCTGAGTACAGCCTCCCCCTCTGCTCAGCTCTTTTCCCCTGTGCTTGCCAATGATTCCTTGTTATTATATTCATAATGAAGAATAAAAAAATCACTTGTGAAATTTGTGAATTCCCCATGTACCTTCCCTGCGGGAGGAAGACACCCAGGCCTGGAGTGACTTTTTATCAGAGTTTCTTAGCTGTCTCCAGAAATCACAGCAAGCAAAAAAGCTACATGCCACAGATTTCCATATACTCTGTGCCTCTCTGCAGTGTCTGGTAAAGCATCCCAATAAATTTGCTTCCTTAAGCTCATTCTCCATTAATGAATATTTGTTCTGTATCTCTGATGTGCTCCCACTGAGATCCAAGAAATCCCATGTCAGGTGCTAGGACTGGAGTCTTGGGGCTTACTGGAGGGAAAAAGCCTCGAGTGTTTCTCACAGGAATGTATGTAAGAAACTTAAATCTAGTTACACTGAGATAAAGAACCATGGTCTGCACAGAAGGGTTCAGAAGGGACTTGTCACATGGGAGAACTCTTCCTACCTCATCACCACGTTCACAGACCAGGGTCAAAAGCTGTGGCAATGTCCTGGTGCCAAGGTCCCACTCCTGCTGGGAGGCTGTGTCTGTCAGTATTTGTCGCTACCTGTCTGTCTTCATAGTCATACTTTGATCCTGCAGAAACATGATTTCAAAGTTGTCAGTGGATCCATCTGCTGTAACTAAGAAGGAGTGAACTTAAATGGAAGCAAAAAAGAAGTAGGTTAGATGTTAGGAATCACTTGAATCAGGAGACACTCTAATGAGGGAAGAGCTCATTACAGGAATGGGCTCACCATACCCAGGTTTCTGAGAACAAATTAGATGAAACTTTGCCAGGAAAGGTGCAGACAGAGCTGATGCTGTGAGGCTGCAGGACAGGGCCCCTACAACTCTTCTATCCCACAATACTGTGGCACTGCCAGGACAGACTGTTTGAAAAGCACTTTCACCTTCACAAACCATTTCTGGCTTTGTCTTGGGGCAGTGTAGCAACAGCAGTGAGTTCCATTCCAGGACCAATGGCTAAGGGAAAACCCAGCCCTCATCTGCCAGCTGCAGAGCCCAGTACCTACTGGCAGCCATCCAGAAAGGTTTGAGAAATCAGAAAGTACTGAAAAAAGTGAGCAGTGGAGGATCTCCAAGCCAGAAAGTACCTTACACTGTTCTAGAGAACTGTCCTCAGCACTGCAGAGCATGGGGAGCACCTGCACCTAGGGATGTCTGAGGAAAAACAGAGCTCAGAGCAACTTCTACTGAAAGCAGCTCTCAGGTGACGCAAGCTGCATTCACTCTCCTGAGAGCCTCCAGCACCAAGCACTGATCCTCCCCCCAAACCAGAGCACAGGGGGCTGGTGGGATCTCAGAGTCTCCTGCTCTGGCTGGAGTCCCCACTTGCCTTGGAAGGTGTCCCTTCAAGGACTCTGCAGTGTCAGATGGCCCTCTCCAGAGATGGGAGCATCTCTAGCCTTGGTGGTGAATTTGGCACCCCAAATTCAATGAGAGACAGCCCTCTGCAGCCTGGTTTGGTTTTGGGATCAACTCTGCCATGCAGAGATTGGTCTAGAAATCCCAGAATTGCCCCTCCCAATACTAGTTATCCTCGAAGACAGAGAGGGACATTCACCCTGAGCAAAGGCCATACCTGCCTTGCAAGGCACCACAGTACAGAGAAGCGGGGGGCACAGGACAGCTCCATGATGGACTTGGCATTGGCTGGAAGAGAGGTTTTCCTGCAGCAGGGGTATGAGATGGTAGCAGCAGGTGGAGGATGGCTGTCAGGAAGGTGTCCCCACCCCACCCCTGGTGCCCCCAGAGTGGATTTGGCTTCCAAAACCAGCAGGCTCGATGACATCAGGTAGCACTGGGCAGACTGTGAAATGACACCACTGCTGCTCCTGGGTCTCTGGCGTTTCCAAGTGACAGGCAAAACTGGAGTTTCATTTGCACTGCCAGACTAAAGAGCAAATGATTCTCATCCCAGCAATGCTGTCTTCTGCTAGGGCTCTCCAAAGGCAGTGGAGAGACACAGGTCAGGAGATGCAGGAGAGCATCCTAAAATATCCTCACAGTTCGACAGGGCTGGTACTCACCAGCCCAGGAGAATGGGCCCAGCGAGTGGGTGTCTCTGCATTGCCATCTTGTCCCTCCACTACAGCATGTCCCAGTGTACAGGCAGGTTCTCATCTCTCCTACAACATCCCCAGCTCCACACAGCTCCTTATTCTAATCTACCTATCCAAATGCTTCCTAAATCCTGCTGGGCTTTTGGCCACCCAACAGCAGTGACCTCTATCCCCCAGCAGCTCCCTGGCAGCTTTCCTTCACTCAGCTCCAGCAGCCAGTGTTAGTTTGAGGTGACACCTGAAGTCAAGGAGTGGACATTAAATGCTGTCTACCACCAGATATTTGCTCCATGGAAATGTCCTGACCAGGACAGGGCAGTCCCCACCCCAGTGGCAATGCATGGCTCTCCCTGCAGCTGTGGTTTTTCACTAAGGTAAAACTTTGCTGTGAAGAAATCTCCACCTCCCATGAGCTCCTGGTTTGCTACTTTTCCCCAGCTTCTCCACCACATCTTTTACTTAAAGAGTAAGATCAGGGCAAAGATACAAGGAGAGTGTCCAGCACAGAGATGTCCTGAAGTGGAGCTGATAGTCCTCAGACAGGTTTCTGCTCCCTGAAATTTTCTTTTAGGTCTCTGAATCCCTGCAAACATTTAGTGACCACAACACCCTGCAGCGAGCAGTTCCCCATCACAAGTTGGGCAGCACTCCCACCTCTCCCTTCCCAAAGGGATGAAGGGGACCTGCACAGAGCCGACAGTGACAGGGTGTCTTGTTTCTCTCTCTCTTCTCTCTCCTGAGCTGATGGGTACAGTGGTGCCAGATGTCCACAGGATGCACAAGTGCAGTGCCTTGAAGTATAGGATGAGGCCAAGGCAGTGACAAGAGGGATGCACACAGTGTGATGTAGTACAGGGCACACACAGTGCAGTGCAGGATGCACATAGTGTGGTGCAGTGCAGGATACAGATGCTTGGAGGTGCAGCATGCACACAGTGGGGTGCAGTGCAGGATGCATGTAGCAGGATGCAGGACGCACAGAGCAGAGTGCTGGATGCACACAGCAGGGTGCAAGATGCACACAGCAGGATGCAATGCAGGATGCACAGTGCGGGTTGCAGTGCAGGATGCACACGGAGGGGTAAAGTGCTATACACAGCAGGGAGCAGGATGAACTCAGTGGGGTGCAGGGTACGCACAGCGAGGTGGAGTGCAGGATGCACAGAGCGGGGAGCAGGATGCACACAGCGGGATGCAGCGCCCGTCCCCCCCCTAGCCGGGGGTGGCGCGGTGCAGAACCGGAGCTCCTTGCGCTCAGCTGCTGCTCCTTTAAGACCGGCGGGGCGCGCGCGGCTCCCGGAGGCGGTGGGGGGGTCCCGGCCCGTGTCCGTCTGTGTCC